CAAGGAGAGGTGACCTTTCCAAATGGGAGCCTGGAGGCTCTGGGGGGACCCCAGGGACAGAGGGGGCTGTTCCTAGGGGGAGCCCACCACCTGGGCAGCTTGGAGAGCTGGACACAGCCCCAGCTCTCTGCCGCCTTCCCCTGGCTGTCGCACTGGGTCACCGGAGCCGTCACAGTGAGATGCAGCATCACTCCCAAGCCTGGAGACTCATCTGAAGGAGACACATCTGATGGAGGCACAAACTCCTGAGGGAGAGGAGGAGCAGAGGAGAATCTGGCAGGCAGGAGGAAAGGTGGTTTAATGAGGTATCCAGTATGTTAAACCACTGAAGGATTAAAGCAAGGAAGGGATAGGATCTTCCACGAAAACTCAGTCATTAGTGAAGCCCGAGGGTAGACGCAATTGTTTTCTGGTTTTTTCCCCTCTTTGATGACCCAGTTTTTTTAATCTCATCAGTGCCAGGCTTGTGTTAATTTTTAAATATGCTTGGGTAACTGCAAACATTAACTATTCATGATCTTATCTTCAATAGGTGTTTGTTCACTGACACTGAGCCAGGGTTGAGATGTACAGAAGGAACCAGCAAGCTGAACTTACCGGGGAAGGCAATAGCTGGTTTTTCCTGAGCATCCTGTTGAAATGAGCATGGGCTGGGTGGGGTTTCCCAACGCTCCTGCTCCTGGATAAATCAGGGCTTGTGGGGCAGGCTGGTCTCACCAAGGCCATCCCTTGCAACTGCAGTGGCTTGAAAAGATGGAAGAGCACACAAAAACCTGAGTGCTGGGGAAGGCTTTGGACACTGAGGCTGCCTCAGCTGTGGTCCCCTGGGAAACCCCAACTCAGTTTGCAAATCCAAGGGCAGTCTCCAGAGCTGGCTGGAGGAGGCAGCCAGGTACAGCCCAGGCTAGGTATTGGCACAGATCAGGGATGTGAGCTGATGAATAGATGTAGAGCCCTTGAACTCCTATGAAGAGAGCCAACAGACTTCATGGCATTTAGAATCTCATAGAATGGTTTGGGTTGGAAGGGACTTTCAAAGCTCATCCAGTCCAACCCCCCTGCAACGAGCAGGGACACCTTCCTCTAGAGCAGGTTGTCCAGAACCACATCCAGCCTGGCCTGGAATGTCTCCAGGGATGGCGCATCCACCACCCTCTCTGGACAACCTGTACCAGGGTTTTTTACCACCCTCATTGTAAAGAATTTCTTCCTCACATCCAGCCTGAATCTCCCTCTTTTAGTTTAAACCCATCACTACTCATCCTAAGGCAACAGGCCCTGCTAAAAAGTCTCTCCATCTTTCTTATAGGTCCTTTTAAGTACTGAAAGGCCCCAATAAGGTCTCCCTGGAGCCTTCTCTTCTCCAGGCTGAACAAGCCCAGCTCTCTCAGCCATGATTTGCCTGGCTTTGCTTTTTGGGTGTTCCAGTGTAGGTCCTAAGGACATGACACTCCCCTGGGTGTGGGAGCAGCCACAGGCCACAAGGAATTGAGCAGCGCTGTCAAAGTCACCACACACTGCTGCAGGGAACAGAGCACTGACCCAAGGGAAGGCTGCCAGGCAGAAGAGCAAAGGTGGGAAAATAACAGAGCATGAACCAGCACAGGAATAATCATGGAAATAAAGTTATCCAAAGGAATACAAAACTTACACTGGTTTCGGGAGGGCTGATAGCTGGTGGGGTAGAAGGCACGAACCCCTCCCTGCTTTGAGTGGGTACATGGGGACATGCTCTCACCAACTCACTTGTGCTGATAGTTTGTTGCTGGAAAGAAAATCTTGGTACTTCCAAGGATCCGACTCTGAGGACAGCGATGGGAATGCAGAATCAGGAGTCTCCAGAGTCAGCAGCACCGTCGGAGAAGTAACAGCATCTTCAGGAAAGGGCACAGGGTGCTTCTACTGGAAAACTGAAATAAGAATCACAGAATCAGAGAATGCTTCAGGCTGGAAGGGACCTCTGAGGTCACCTTGTCCAACCCTCTGCTCAAGCAGGACACCCGGAGCCACCTGCCCAGGAACATATCCAAAAACCAACTTTGACTGTATTTTTACTGTATTTTATCCCCCTATGAAAATTAAGTATCATAGAACAAAAATGAATTATTTAACTTGCAACTAACACTGGATGCTCAATGTATATACTGCATTTTATTGACTGAAGGTATATTACAATAGACAAACATATATTACACATGCTATACAAAATATACATTCTTATGTGGAAAAAAAAATAAATAAACATTAGGCAATAGCAACAGGGCACAAGGGCAGCTCTGCCCACACTGTCTCGTGAGCCCCCAGCTCCTGGACCGTTAGTGCTTTGGCTTTGATTGAAGAAACTGTTTGTGTTTACTGGAAATAGAGGAGGTCCTGTCTGCACCTCCTGCAGAAAAGGGGAAAGGAGAGACCTGATTTCTTCTGCAAGTCTACCCAGGAAGTTTCTCTGCAGTGTTAAGCACAGCAAAGTGTCCACCTACTTAAAAGCTTCAGCTATTTACAACCAGCTTACGGACTTGAAAGAGATACCACTGCTCATGGGAGGATGCAAATGTCCTAATTCATAACAGCAAGTTTTATAGGCCAGTACCTCACAGAAATCAGTGCAGCTTTGGCTCCTGGTGCAGGTAGCATGAAATTTAAAGCCTTGGTCCTGGCCAAGCACATCTTACCCACCCAAAGGGAATTCAATCGCACTAGGGAGTTGTGCCCAACACAGACGTGAGGTCCACATCTCCACATCTTCACTGTGACAGATCTGTGTTAGCTCAACTCCACAGAAGAGAGGGGTGAAAGGAAAAGTAACAAACTTTAAAATTTGCCAAGGGGTGATGGGAAACAGAGCAGCAGGAGGGGTGCTGGGGGGAATCCTGGCTCTGCACATGCTGAGCAGCACTTGGCCACAGGTGCCTGGGATAAGAGCTGGACAAAGCAGCGAGCAGCCCAACAGATGAGGCTTTTCTGCTGCTGTAGTTTCATGACATGACCTTTGTCATCTGGATTTAAACTGACAGTAGTGGGTTCCTGCAAGAGCGAACTCTGGATTGAAATAAGCACTGTGCTGTCTGGAAAGGAAAAGGCTAGAGGAAATAAAAACCAGAAAGGAATGAACTTAAGATTCTTCTTTTGGCATGTCTGTTATTAAACCATTTCAGATGTCAGAGCCCAAAAAGAGTTTAACACACCTGAGTTTCTCTCTTCTTTATCCAGAGGTCAAGGACAATTGGATCCTCTTCCTACTAAAGCTGCTGGCTATCAAAGCAACCAAGGTTGCTTTGAGAGCATGTCAAGAGGTCTTGATAATATTTGCTAGTTTGTACAGATCTGACTATTATTCATGGCCGAAGAGCTGTGGGAAGATAATCGTTATTCCCAGTGTTTCCTCTCTCATTTACTCCAATAATACACAGTCTCACAAGTTTCAGCTGTGATTCTGCATCTGATAATCCAGTCATGCCCCCTTCCATTGAGGAACAGATTGGTGGGAAGCCTTCCATACCTCTCTCAGGCTGGTCAGAAAAGGGGTTTGTGTCCTTCTAAAGATATAAAATACACCACGGGTGTTTTCATTCCAGTACATATCCTACAGCTTGGAAAACTGCAACAATGATTAGGAAGAAAGCTCCTCGCCCTTCAGGAGTGAGTACATGACCTAATGTTGAAGCACTGAGCACAACATACCTGCTGAAACCCATCACTGATGAGTCTTTAACACCTCCTACACAAAGGGGCATTTCTTTTTCAGGAAGTCTTTATGCAGAGGAAACAGAAAATCCATAGTATAGTTCACTAAGTACTTATCAAATGCTTTTCCAATTTACCTGACACTTCCCATCACAACATTCTTTTAAAAAGTTCACTTAACTGCCAGCTAGGAAAAATACATGGAGACATCTGCAACACACACAGTACAAAAGCTGGTTTTTAGATAAAAGCTTAGGAAAACTTCCAAAACAAACCACTCGGAACTCCCATTTTCCAGGGAACCATGAGCAGACATGTAGTGCACTGTTCTTTTCGTTTGCTTCTGGGAAGCTGGATACTACAGCCAGGAACACATGAAACACTGCTTGTTAATGCAGGGTCTGTTGGGCTTTTTGCTCTACTGGACAAGACAGGTGCCTAATACAGAGATTTAAGGACTTTCTCAACACTTAAACAGATCATACTTGGAATTCTGCTAATGTCATGAAATGGAGCAGCTTGCAGTCAGGTCAGCCAGGCTCAATGCATGCAGAGCTGTACAGAACAATGAAATTCATCAATATCACAGTTTCACCACATATCTACAGTAAATTCACTGCTTTCCAAAACAAAGACAGCTCTATCCCCTCAGAAACAAGCTTTCAGTCCCACCAAAAACCCCCATATGGCTTGATATACAACTGTCAAGAGTAACAGTATGATACATACTTTGGCATAATAAAAAATATATTTACATTACAGCCAACACATTTATATGCTTAGTGTATACAAAATATTTATAAATGCAAATTCATTTACAACTAGAGTCCATTATTCATAGGAGAAAACGAGACCCAAAGTTAGACTGGTAACAGGGGCCTGCTAACAGTCTAAGGAACAAAGAAGCTGGCCAAGAATTTTATGCTTACAGTTACTGGGGAATTCCATGAGGAGGCCCTGAACATTTGCTTTCAAGCAGACAATGCAGTGGGAAATAGCTATGCATTCTTGAGGGATTTTCAAAGCATGCACCAACACAAAGGCTGCTTCCAACATCAGAAAATCCTCATTTTAATGCTATGGTAGATACCACTAATCATCCATGCGTTCTCTGTTACACATTCTCATTTTCCAATCCACAGAAATCAAGGGAAAAAGGGCATGTGCCACCTCCTCCTAGAGAGTCTGACTGTTTAGCCAGCCTGTGACTGCAGACACACATACACAAGCATCTTTGGCCTTGGGGTTAGTCCTGAGGTAGTAAATACAACAAGTCAGTTGATACAGATTTGCTTTCAAGACTCCGTTTGAGTGTCTTACGTGGTTTCACTATAGTCATGAATGTTGTGTGTCCTGTTAAAATCAAAGCTCCGGTCCCGTCCGCGGGGACAGGCTCCGGGTGGAGCCGCCTGGTCCTGGGTGCTGACAGCAGCACCCTCGCTGCTGGGAGGCCGAGGGGTCTCCCGGCCCGACTGCTGATGCAGGAAGTGGGAGTGAGGGAGCGCCACGTCCTTGTTCACTCCCCATAGAGGAAGCTGGAAGGGTTCTGGGGAAGAGAAATTAAGAAATTAGAAGATGAACAGGAGTTAGTTCACGATAACAGTCAAATTTTAAGAGAGATTCACTGAGTGATGCAGCTCGGCAGTAACAGTCTGCCTGAGGTTATTTTCTCTTTTCCAACCCTATGCATTCTATGATTCTATGAGTCTGTGTTTTACTGGATGCTCTCCCTCTTCAGCAACCTGGTACAGTAAGCAGCAGCAGCACAGAGTGTTGTTTCAGAGTGAATTTTTAAAAGGCTATCTGGAAGAAAGTCAACATGTACCAAAAAAAAAAGTACTTTTGGAGTACTCTGAAAATGAGGCCGGCTCAAACAGAAGGCCTATTTGAATTTCTTAGTGAAGCTCTTGGCTAATAGATGTCCTTGAAGCACATGTAAAAGATCACGTTCCATAAGCTTAAAGAGATGAACTGCAGCTTCAGAAATACCATCTTTTTAACATCACCCTCTTCAACTGCTGGGTACTGGATGCCAACTGAGGGCTAGTTCTGAGAACATTAAAGACATGAGTTACTCCCAAACTACAATCACTAGAAGAATTAGCTGTGTGTCAATAGTGAAGGGTAGCACAAGGAAAACCAGAGTTATCAGGGAATACAAAGCAACAAAAGGAATAAGAGGACACTCACCATTGATCTGCTGGGAGGAGATTTTCTTTTCACTCATTTTGTCATGGTTGGTAAGGAAGACAGACATGTCTCTGTCTGCTAAGAGATTATCCAAAGTACTGGTTTCATGCTGGGTGCGTGCTGTATACGTTTCCTTAGACATCTGCACCATGAGGTTAGGGAGAGTTTGATCCAGGGGGTCTTCTGCAATGTAGGCATAGGGACAGTACTCTCGTGTCCTGGAGTAGATGTTTGCGTTGTCGTAACAGTCTGAGCAGATCACCAACGGTGCTGCACCACCTGATAAATGCAATGAAAAACCAAGATACTCTCAAACAGGATAAGGATGCTTGATTCCCAGACTCTTTTCATGTCTTAGTATGATCATGTGTGAAGGGTCTTTATACAGTTAATGTGGCAACAGAGTACTCAGCTTGACTGTTAATTGAAGAAGTCACAAGAGAAATGCTCTAGGTTCCCCACCACCCAAAGTCTCCATAGCACTGCCCTTCTGAGGTTGACTAGTGGAAAACCATGGACATGAGTGTGAGCAATCTCATGTTTGCTCTCCTGTCTAATGCAGGTCCAACCAGCTTGGGCACCAGGCTGAAACAGCCCTGGAATCAAACCAGGATACCTATCCACATCAGCTTATGCTCTTGTACCAGGCTGGTACCCTGCATGCCCAGATGATAAAGTGGTCACTGAGATGAGATGCTTCTCAGCTCCTACTTAATAGGCTCTAGTGCAGAGTCCGGATCTGAAGGACCGCTTTTAAAAGACAGGCTATACAAAGATTGAACAGATCCTCAGCATTTGGGTGGTAAAAGATGGCATCACTGTAGACTCAATGACACAAATACCCTGAAATTGTCCAGCTAAAGTGCAGACCCTTTAGTTATGATTGTAACAAGCAGACTATGTCAGGCAGAGGCAATAGTTTTATGCCAAGGACAAATGGTACAGCAAGTCATCTTCCAAACAAACTACTTCTACTTCTATTGCCTGGGCTCTTGAGATGCCCATGGAAAGAAATAGCATAAAAATGTACCTTAACATTTAACCTAGGAATTCTCTAATGGCATCCCCACCTTGCTGAACAGATCACAAACCATGAGGCAAAGAGTCTTTGGAGGGAACTGTATTACTCTGGCACCTGAAGGACAGCAGTCATGACACCTACATGCAAAGATGCTCATAGCAGATGTGAGCCCAGGTGTTGCTGGACCAAAGATTAAAGAGCACACATGGAATGCAGAAGTGCCTTGACAGCAGAATATTAACAAACACTAGAAGAAAATGAGACACCTCAAACTCAGGAAGGAAATTTTCAGATCAACCTGAGTTCTTCTCTAGGAAAAGTCACCTTTCATGTTAGTGATTCAGTACTACAGAGCTCTGTGCAATACTGCTGCCAGCTGTGAGGACAAGACCGTGCACTGGCATCCTGCTGGAACACAAATAATACATGTGAGGGCTCTGCTTACCATCTGTGCCTTTATGCACGTAGCTACCAGCTGGAGGCATAAGTTGCTGATGGCTTCCTGCCTCTGAGTTACTGTAGCCTTCCTGAGGCTCTGACAGAGTTCCTTGGGAGGACAGATAGCTGGGAATATCTGCCGGTAGGTTCATCTCCTCTGCAACGCAGAATTAACATTGATGACTTTAACAGCTAAGTGTGAACATTTCAAAGTAGTACCCACACTGTTACTCATGTAAAGAAAACTGTCACCCAGAACTTCAACTCACAGTTACCTTTTTTCTGCCTCAGTTAAATACCTGTATCATTAGTTCAAAACTAACAGGGACAGAAGGAAAATTTACACACTTTATCCCAGGTCCTGAAAACATTTTTAAGTTTACTCAAATATTTATTTCCAAAACTTTACTGCTTTCCCTCCATAGAGAACAAATCTAGCATATAAAGAACAAAATTAATACTTGATATTAAAAAAACCCAAACAACTCTAAAATGAAGGAATTTGAGCAAATCCCTGAAGAGATTTTAGAAGAAACCCCTCGTTTCTTCAATCTTATCCATCTGTACTGATTCCAGACATTTCACCCCTCTTAAGTGTTTTGTATTAAAAACAGGGCTGAAGGCTGTTGCTTTTGCACTTTACCTGTGTTAGTGATGCTGTAATCTTCACTCTTCCTTCTCATTTGGTAGATCACGATAACCCATACCAGGGAGGTTCCCACGACACAGCACACCACGACGATAATCACAATGCCCACTGTTGTCCAGCCATCCTCCTCATGGACAATGCCACTCTGGGAAGAATCACAGTTTGGAGAAGCCAGGACATTTAGGTAAATATGGCCACGCTCAGTGCCCAGTGTGTTGGACATAATGCATGTGTACTTCCCAGCATCCTCTAACCCAGCATCCACGATGATAAGGAGTTGATTTGCCGCAGCAAAAAAATGCCTTTCTGTGACCGTCAAAGGGCCATCGTCCTTCGTCCAGTTGAGGCGTGGGGCAGGGCTGCCACCAGCTATGCACTGCAAGACAGCAGTTTCACCTCGGGTTACAGTTCTGTCTTCCAGAGGCCTCACAAAGGAAGGAGTTTCTGTGATAGGGAAGGAAAAAAGGCAGTAAATTGTAAGGGAAGTTCATTGTGTGACACCAGTGTGTACTCCATGGTATTTAGAAATCTGATCTTACAACCAGAACTGAAACTTGGGCAGTCAAAGACAGGATTCAGGAAGTTCAGCTCTCCTGTGGATCACTGCAGCCAAGGGGGTACAGCAAACATCCCCTAGATTACATGCTAGCCTCAGTCTGCTTTACGTATTCAATTCTAAATTTGCTTATGACCATAATGGTAAAAGTCAGTGTCCTCAAACATTCTGCACTCTAGAGGAACTGTCCTTCCATTATTACTCAACATAGTTCATGTCACTTGCAATAGGATTTGTTGTGAGGCAACACAAATTATCCAGTCTGCACTGCTGGACTGTGGAATGTCCCTCAGCTCTCTCCTCCAAAGATCATACTAACTTCACCAGAAGCTTAGCTGCTAAAGCTTCACTGTTCAAAAACCATGTCAAGTGCTGCTCTTCATGTCTTAACTTCATTCTTTAGGACTTAAGCTTACAGCTACGCTACACTACACCACTGCAGAGGTGAAGGGCTCCACATGGAAGCACAGATTAGCACACCACTTACCTAACACAGTCAGCGTGGCATTTGCTGACAAACCACCTGCAATGTTTTGTGCCATACAGCTATAGATTCCCATGTCTTCTATTTTCACATTTGCAATAAAGAACACATCATCCTCAGGCATGACGTGCATCCTTCTCTCTCTTGCAGCAGGGAAGTCTGTGCCACCATCTTTCTGCCAGGAGATCTGTGGAGTAGGGTGACCCTCTGCAGCACACTCCAGCCGGGCCATGGCCCCAGTGCGGATAGTAAGATCCATGGGGGTTTTCAGGAAAGAAGGTAGCTCTGGAGCAAAGGAGACTAGATTCAGTGGTTTCAGTACCAGGGAAAAAGCAGCAAAAGCTCCACAGCACAAAGAATATCTGAAAACAAATTTGAAACATCCTCTAGTTTTCCCTGAGAGGGGTAGATTCTCCTAAGAACTGCGCAGATTTCCAGTGGTGATTTCTAACAGCCTATCCTCAAATTTGAATACAGTATCTATAGTGCTCATTTAAGATGAGCTGAAGGACATTTCTCATGAGGGAAAGACAGGGAAAAGGTTTAGCCTTTGCAAGCCCTTTGTCAGACTTTTTCTTCCCTAGTAAAAGGGAAGGTGAACTTCCACCTGCTCAGTCCAAGTCTGCATTACCTGTTCTAGACAAGCAAAAGCAGCACAAGGCACCTCTGCTCCCAGATACAGTGGGGATCAGTGATCTACTGACTGATGTGAACGTTGTCTTCTTATTCCCTTTCCCTCAAGCCAAAATAAAAAGAATCATGATGGCTAAAAACAAAGGACTTCAGAATTGATTTTTCAGAGTCTGCTTCCAGTCCCACCACTCAATTTTCCTTGAATCCTCCCTAGCTTAACACGTGGGAAAAGGTGCTTAGTTCTGAAGAGACAGCAGAGGGAGCTTTTAGTTTAAGAGACTTCCACCTCCATTTAACTAGATGAACAACTAATTGTGTGGTAATGAAAGCATGGGATATATCTGCCCCTTTTGAAAGCGAACACAAGTTTTTTCACCCACGCAGAAAAAAATCTTTCCTGGTTTATAAAATGATATTTAATACATCTAAATACCAGTGAGACAGTCCTGCAAGACTATTTTAGGCCATCTCTAGTGAAAACCAGACTTGAAGCTATTTAAATAAAACTTTAGGTTTCAAGTGCTTCTCCTTTGTTACCATTATTGCTTACCATTGACAGTCAGCTTGGCTTTGTTGGAATAATTGGAGCCGAAGTGATTGGTGACGATGCACTGATACTTCCCTTCATCAGTGAAATTCACATTGAAAAGGTGCAGGACAGTGGTATATTCGACCACCTCACCACCCTGCTGCTGGTACCTGGCAAAATTCTCAACCTCTGCATCATACAACACCTCACTATCTTTACGCCAAGCAGTGGACATGGGTGAATCACTGCTGCTCACAGCAGTGCAAGTCAGAGTCACATTCATGCCTCGCAGAGCAACTCTGGTCTCAGGATGCACTCTTATCTGCGGCTTAGGGAAGTTATCTGGAAAGAAAAGCATTGAGATTAGCTACTTCCTCTTCAACTTGCAATTAATATTGCAAGAAAACTCACTGTAAAGACAATGTAAGCAGAGAGCAAGCTTTGGGAACAGATGTCCTGCTTGAGGTGCACATATTCAGCTGTTGCCAGCTGGAAATCAAGCTGCGAGAGAGGATTAGAACCACAGGTAGTTACCAGAATAAGGGTTGAAAACAATCAGCAGAGAATTATGGTCTTGAGCAGCACCCTGCATTTTGTACAACTGTCTGGAGCTTGCTATATTTATATCACACACAAAAGCTGTGCTCAGCTGAAAAGCCAGGCTCTTTTACGAAGGACTGAGACTTATTCTCAGGCAATTTAAATATCCTGAAGAGCCTTTAAGTTCTACAAAACAAAGCAGAGCAAACTGGCGGTTCACTCTTATCTCATGCCACTCAATGGGAGTTATTTCAATACCTATTACTGCAGCAAAGACATTCTCCTAGGCACAAGCAGCACCCAGTGTCCAGGCACCACAGTGGTGGTATCAGAATGGAGAAGTGGGTGCTTGCACCTACATGATGATTATTGTAGCCTTTGCCACCAAAAGGATGAAAGAACTGTGTACACAGAAGTCACACTTAGCAGATTGCTCACCCAGAAAAGAACACCAGAGTATTTCCAGGCTTGCCAGAGACTTCACACTTGACTCTGGGCAAAGAGACTCTCAGTTTTCCATCTCACAGTTCAGTTACAAAAATAAGCAGGCTTTTGTCTGACACTGTGGTGGCAGAGACCGGATAAATATCACAGCTCTAGAGCACGAGAAGATGTGCCAGAGTATTAGTGGCTCTGGTCTTGCTGGTATGGACAAGAACCAATAAGGAAGTGTCAAACAGCCCTTGCCAAGCTAAAGCAGGGGGAATGGAAGCATTACCAGTTTTTAACAGTAACCTACATGAAAACCAACTCACTCTCACACAATTACTCCCTCAGGTTAGCTTCAGTGCTCAAACACAACAAATCAAAGAGAAACAGAATTATATCCCAAACTCCAAAAGCAGACCCAGTGATGTACAGAGGCCCAAGTGCACACCATGGCCAAGACCAAACACCTCCAGCAATGCCACAGCCTGATTTCAGAAAGGTACCTGCACAGATTTGTGTTACCATGTTTTGATATCAAAAGTCATTAAAAATACAAACCACAGACAAAGTCATCAGGGTCCACACTGAGAAGGCTTTGTCCTGCTAACCACTCTGGATGAGCACAGCTAACATTTACGGCCTGCTGTAAATGGCTGTCAGTGAGCCACTGTGGATGGAGCCCTGGTGCCAGCCATTTCAACTGGCAATCACAAAGCAAGCTGCTAGTGTTCAAAATTCTGCAGAGACAAGGCAAAACAAAAGTGGGATTAAAGTTTATGTATTTCCTACACGTGATTTCATGCAGCAAAACAACTTAAAGCATCTATGTTCAGAAATGTCAAGATTCATAGTATTCCTTTATGCCTATGGGTATTTATTACAAAACATTAGCTATACATGCTATAAGCAACCCAGAAAAATCTTTCCCTCTATGTCAGCACTAAAATCTTACACTTCTTTTTAATTCTGAAGAAAACAACCTTGGATTTTCAACTTCTAAAAGACATACTAAGCCTGTCTTTACAATTATCCCGTCCCTCTTAAAAGCCATCAAAAGGAACATAACACTTCAGAGCAGCAGTGTCTCAAACTCAACACACTTGTCATTATGAAATGAGTATAAGCCTCAATACTCATTTTCATGCCAGGTAATAAATATTTAAGAATGAAAGCGATTTGTTTCATACCAGTATCTACTGCAGATTGTTTTCTCTACTCCAAAGAAAAACTGTAAGCTGGAAACAATGTTGGGTCACTTTTTCCCCACCGCCTGCTTTCAAAGCTTCCTACATGTTATGTATCAGTATGACTGACTGGGGAAAATCCAACATTTCAACAAGAAGTGATCTGCCACGAGATGAATCCAGCAGTAACCAAGGAGAAGCACACAGACAAGCTAGGATTGCATCTTGCTCTTTGCCCATGAATGCCAACAATTCCTCACTTTTAAGACACACTAGAGAAGGCAATGAAAGCCTCATTTTTAGGTGTCTCCTCAACCTGGCAGATCTTGCAGACTAAGTCCATCTGGCCAAGATTAACTAATTGAGTAGCAGATTTAAAACAGATTACATGATATTCAGTGACTTTATCTCATAGAGATGACTGAGTTGCAGTAGGATTAGTCTTGGGTGTGAAGGTCACTTCACATTATACTACTTTAAATGTGTGAAGATCACAAGAGGCTCTGGCAGCTTAAGCATCTGCAAAGTAAGTAAAAATTCTTGTCTAGTTGTGAATTTTAAAGCCAAATTTCCCCAGAATGAAAGACAATGAATTATTTCTTTTATTCACCATCTCCATCCTAGCATGTGCTGAGCCTGCTGCAAAACTGTAAGATATGAAAAACTTCATGGTTCAGCACTGCAAGAAAAAAGTATTTTCCAATTGCAGTCAAGGAGATGGAGGTGCACATTTTATCAAACCTTAAATCTAAGGATACTGCTACCAATTTTGAGTCAGTAATTTACCAGCACTGCTTGAAATATTTCATGATGAAAGCAGACACACTTCAGTCCATGCTACAATGGCTGAAGGATTTGAAGGATTTTAGCTTTATCTACAAGGTACAACTTGCAAAGAAGCTGTAAAATAACTATTATAAACTTACAGCTCTTTCAGGTGAGCCTGGGCAAATGCATTTTCTTGGATGGACATTACTGCATTGTTGCTTAAATCTCTAGAAGTTAAGCAAAGAGAAAAATAACGGGTAAGTGTGATTTCATATGCTACCTTCAGTTAGATTCTTAAATATTCGACAGGTAACACAAGACTGAAGTTGACAAATAATTAGAAGTTCTACAAAGTAAAGTACTTACAGATGTTCAAGTCCTTCAAGACCAGAGAATGCTTTTTTGGTAATTGACTTAATCTGGTTTCCTTGCAAGATTCTGAAAGACAAAGCCCCCAAGCCCCAGAAACGAGTTTGAACATCAGTATGAGTTCACAAGTAAGACTCAAAAAGGCTCCCCATGACATTTAACTACATTTTTTCTCATTATAGCTGAGCTAAAGATCAAATACTAGGTTTTCATCTTAAAGCTCAACTAGTTTTCTCAAGAACAGGGTTTCTTTTCCATTCTTAACTTAGAGATTTGGGTTAGAGATGTGTCAGAAGATAATTTAAGTCAGCAGAGTGAAACGGTGCTAAGCAGAACTTGGGAGTGGAGCAATAACTTTCTAATGCCAATCTGTCACAATCACATTAGTTCTGAGACTGCACCCTCATACCAAGCTATTTGTTATAAACAATGCCTGTAGCTCTGCAGGATGGAGCTTCCTACGAAGCACATGGCACTGGATGAAAAATGCACAGTCTAAGTACTGAAAAGCTGTTAATTCAACAGTGTTTCATATTTGGTAAAAAATACTTTGTGTTGTGGTTTGGTTTGTTTGGGGTTTTTCTAATAAGCAGTAACTTTTACCCAAACTACAGCAGCACAAAAAGTGACAATCACCACACAGCAGGACCAGGCTATTCAGTAATAAATGCAATCAAGTACTTATGCTTAATTTGTTCAAATTGGTGCTGCAAGGTGACCCAGAGCTACAGATGCTCCTGAACCTGGAACTTAAGCCTGTATCAAGAGGCTGGAGCACACAAATGGAAACATACTGAATACAGCTGCAAACTAGTAAAGCTTTCTGCCTCGTGTCATTGATCTACAATTACTTCGTATTTTGCACTCTCCCTCTACTCTGCATGCCTGGGAAGTGCTGCCATCTCAACAGTCTGTAATACATACAGTTTATCCAGCCTGCTGAGTCCCACAAATGCTTCATTTGCATCTTCTATGGCCCAGGAGATCTCATTGTTCCGCAAGTCCCTGCAGGAGAAAAGCTTTCTCATAAAGAAGCCTTGTAACATCATCATGACCACTGTTAGTGGCCAGCAAGGGAAAAGAATTTACTGTTGTACAAGCCAGCTCTGGTGTTATGGCACAGCGTCGCCTGGAAGGTCTCAGATCTTTTGTAAAGATTAATTTTACAAAACTAAGCTTGTCAGAAGATGAGTATCTCATTGCAGAGATGCGAGGGAAAATAGAACTGCTTAAGATCAGTGCTGCAGACAGAACCACAAACAAATTCTGCAGCACAACTTCTTGATGTGGTATTGAAGGAAAGACCCAGTCTGACTTGCACTGCTCATGTGATGGACTATTTACCAGAAGCTGGGAGAGGCTCCTGAAGCAAGTTGGTTCATGTAAGTGAATTTACTAATACACCAGCAGCGTTAATCTTCCCGAGTAACAGGCTTATAGTAGCATTAGCATATTAAGAGATTACACACAGGTTACAGTGTAAAGGCTGCCAGGCACAAAGTAGTAGATTTTCAAATGGAGTTGATATTCTGTCCACAAATCTTGTTACCAGCTAATGGCATTTCTGTTTGACCTCTGCACAGCACTTTGGTCCCTCACAGAGAAGAGCTGTCTAAACAGCAGAAACTGTATAGCAATATGGTTTGGAGTGGATTAAATGCTTTTTAGAGAGAAGAAGAAATAAATTAAGTTCCAGTTTTAGCCTGAATGGGACGGATTGAATCAGGAGTTTCTCTCAAAGCCAGAATTTTTCTGTTTTGATACCAAACCAAGTTTTCAAACTAGTCAACTGACAGAGGCAATTGTATATCTCACAAACACCTCATTCCTTGTGCTAATGGTAGAAAATGTATTTACTTTCTCTTGGGTGAGACTGTAAATTGTGTAGAATAGCATCTTGGAAGAGACTGGGATCAACCTCCAGGACACTGTCAGTGGTAACACATTCTTATTTTTCTTACTTTGAAATATGGAAGTCTTGTTCTTAACACCACGCAGTAGTCATTTCCACAACTAACAGACATACATTTTAATGTTTAGGACAAAAAGAGAATGATTCATGCATCAAAAGGTCTTAACAAATATGGCCTTGATACTTGCTCCCATTTTCCTCTCTGAAAATTTCTCAGGTATTCGACATGGACGTGATCTAATAAGAACCACGAGATGAAGAATATGCCCAATTTATTACCAAGTTGCTAATTCTTGTGATTTGAAACTTGTTCTTACATTTATCTGCAGGTCTGCTTCAAAATTTTAGATTGTGAATGCTGGAGGGGTATCAATGCCAAGTTACTCCCAACAGTATGAAGTAAATAACAATAAGATGTAAAACTTCAGTGTTACTTTTAGATAGACCTTTAATCCTACCTTGCTCTTACTACCTTGTGGTTAACATAGTTTTACAGTTTATTCTTGCTAATTAAAGCCACATTGCAGAGAAGAGGCAGAAGCTGAGCATAGAGAGAAATATTTACATCAGCCTCAGCATTGAAACAACCAGTGTACAAACAACAATGGAACTAATCCGACAGCAGCAAGGCATCTCCAGTTGTTTGAAGTACTTTTACACTCCACTACTCAGACCACTTAGCAAAATGAGTGAGCAACCCAAAAAGAAAAGCCCCTCATTGTGTGAGCTGGGGAGTTGGCTCCTCATGCTTGGCTGGGCACGAATGCTTGGAGCCTTGTTAATCACCACTGCCCTGCTCCTGCACATTCCAAACCCAAAGCAAATGGCCAACTTCTCAGCTGCTGAGCCGTGAGGAGCCCAGGAAAACCTACTAATTAATCTGCTCTTGTTCTTTTTCATGCTACTCTAAGTCTAAGAAATTAGTTTTAATTATTTCATTAAAAGGTTGCGTTCAGGTTAACAGAATCTGACTGCTTATATAAATCTCTCTAGTGAGTTTGCTTATTTAAGCATTTATTTAATGAACTGACAGAGGGGTTATAAACTTTCACTCCTTTCTCCACTATCATTGTTTAGGGTGATTCCAACTGCTCAGATCTACTTGGGACACTACTTTTTTTTTTTTTAATTAAGAGTCAGGATTGAGTCTTTTCTTGTCAGAAATATCAAACAGCTGCAGCTGCTACAAAAGGTCCTGGCAAGTGCAGAGCTGTGCCTCTGCCAGCAAGAAGTAACTCCACACTCCTCCTGAATGCTATGTCTATGACTTCAGCACCCAAGCAGGGTGGGCTAAACCTTATCTTCTACAAGCAGAAGGGTTCACCACTTTGTTTCTGAGGTTCCAACCCTTACAAAACCCTCCGGAATAAAGAGAGGTCTGGATTGACCATTTGCTCCACAGCTGGCATTTATGCAAGCTCATTATCCACACCTTCTCAGAACCAGCATGACATGCAATTTGGCACTTGAGGTTACCAAGCCTCTGTTTCTTATCACCACTAAAATTAACTGGTTGGTTTGTTTTAGCTGGGCCAGAATTCTGTTATCTTGGCAGACCAAAAGATTATCAGCCCCACCACACCTGCAGGGCAGCACACACCAACGCCAAAACACTGATCTCAGCCTTACACAGCGTGATATTCATTGTCGTTATTTCCAAAAGCTTCACTGATCAAACTGAGATTTCATCTAGAAGCTTTCTGTACTTACAAGGTTCGAAGATTCACCAGACCTCGAAAGACACCATCAGCAATGTGACTGATGTGATTGTCACCCAGGTTTAGTTTCTCCAATACACCAAGTCCCACGAAGGCAGACTCCCTGAGGCGAGTTAGTTGGTTGTACGACAAGTCTCTAAAAGGCAAGTAGAGGGGGTTTAATTATGAAGACACTATCAAACTTGATTAACTACTGGGTTTGATTAATTTCTCCAAGAGAACACTTACAAATATAAGTAAAATACAGAGCATTACCATGGGCCTAACAAGGAAATCCGGTACTTCCTTTGGTAATTCATTCTTGCTACATATGTGCCATCCAATCTGTTACTGCAACATTGCAAAACCCCCAGTGCAAAGCATCCCAGGACTTACAGCTCAGCAAGCCTTTGGCAGAACTCCCATGCATCTGGACTGATCCTGTTAATGGCATTCTGGCTAACATAGAGTTGTTGCAATGTCCGCAGACCATACAGCCAGCCCTTGTTTACTTCTGTCAAGTTATTATGTTCCAGTTCTCTAAGGAATTAGAAGGAAAAACATTTGCCAAATAGATAATCAATGAAACATGCATTTACAAAATTTCACCTTGTGGATTGCAAAACAATTTACTAATGTTAAGCCTTAGGCCACCTGAAATGCATGATTATATTAACCTGAAACCAAAAGAGTGAACTGAAGTGTATGAGGAACTGAGTAAACACAATAGCTGCAGTGATCCAGTGGCAGAAGCAGAACTGTAAAGTCTGTTCTCAAAGGTTACTTCTTGTTTGAAAGTCTTCTGCTAACACTGCATAGCACACCCTTGTGCTATCTCTGTCCAACAGTCACACAGCAAAGAACTGTCCCATGTTACGGTGAGTGCAAATGAAAGCCAACAAAAAGCAACCTACAGAGTCAAAGTATTCTTGTTCAGAAAGTGGGAAGAATTGAGGAGAGAGCCAAAATCTTTCCACCTTGAAGTAACCAGACATAATACCAAAATAATGGGAAAATACAGATCTGTAAACTCATTTCCTGGGATGCTCATCAGTATCTTGGCACAGCCTTGATGTAAAGGAAGCTGTACAGGACACAACCCTCCACGGCTAAAACCCCTTAAAGAAATTCCATGACTAGGCATACTCACAATTCTTCTATATTACCCAGGCCAAAGAATGCTCCATCCATTAGTCTGCTAATCCCATTGCGCTGCATTTTCAAGGATTTTAAGGATTCCAGTCCTTGGAATGTAAGACTTTCCACTATTTTAATCCGGTTCCTTTTCAGTTCCCTTTAATAAAGATGACATTCAAATATTAAGACGTATTTTGATAAGCACCACTTTGTGCAAGTCGAGAACACATACCGAGATGAACAACACAGCTGTAAACACTGTGGTTTGAAGCTTTCAAGACTTCTACTTACAGAAACTGCACGTGAGGCAGTTTGAAGATCTTTGGTGGAATCACACTAATCCTATTCCTGTTCAGCTTTACCACCATTAGTGAGCTAGATAAGTTATCAAGACAGCCTGATTCTAGAGTAGTTATTCTGTTGTTGCTCAGATTCCTAGGAGAGGAAGAGGGAAAG